AGAGAATTAGAGGTACAAGTAAGGGAACTTAAACTTCAAATACGTGAGATAGAAGCTAAGACAAGTTTTGACAAAAAATGTTTAGTAACAGCAAATAAACAGCTTAAATAGCAGTTATGACAATTTCATATTAAGTACCTCTTAAAAGATACACTTGTTGAAGAACATATGAATTTTTTAGAATTAGTCAACCTAGTTGATTCTCAACCCTTTAGTCAATACTCCCAAACACAGTCAGATAATGCATACTTACCATTCAATTATCCTGTCATACCTAAGCCAAATTTAGTTAAGATTTTTTGTGTAATTAAATTTGCAGAAAAAACTCTTAGTATAGATGTCATGATAGATACAGGAGCCAGTAAGTTATATATTGAACAACACATAGTTCCACCCGGATGGAGTACAGCTTTAACAACCCCAACTTTATTCAGTATAGCCGATGGCACTAAACAGACATATACACATTGCATCAATGGAGCACAAATTAGTTTTCATCACATAGGTTCTCGAATTCAACATATAGAATGGTTCCCTTTACCTCAAGTTTGGATTGGAAATACTCGACAAAATCATCCTTTCATCTTAGGACTTAACTTCATACTTAGTCCACAAGGTGCCATGTTTATCAGCCAAAACAACATCAGTTTCTTCAAACGAACTGTACATACACCTACAACATATGCCCTTAGCACCATTACCCATTCATCAGAGTTGCGTGCGAAACGTGGTGGTACCATAGGAGTAGATTTTGTTCCCGCTAGTTTTTTATTTCCTAGTAGAAACATTTTTCCTGAACTAGCCCAAAAGTATATACCTGATGAGATAGCAAATATTTCTTTAGAAAATTTAGACATAGAAAATTATGAATTAGAGGATTTAGAAGTGTTTGATTTTGAAGAAAAAAGAGACTATTGGAACCTAGAAGATTTTCAACAAATTGTTAACCTAGAGTTAATTTTTGCAAAAATAGGAAATTAAAGAAAAAAACCAATGTACAGAAGAACAGAAAATGATTTAGATGAAATAATAAGATTAGCTGAAACAACAGAAATTTTAGGTGAACAGCCCATGAAATATTGGGAAAGAAATAAAGTTTTAGCCAGTTTAGATAAAAAAAAATAAAGATTATAGGATTACATCAGCACAAATAGATCATACACCAGCAGACATAGCAGAATTTAGGACACAAATTAAGGAGTTATTAGATTTAGGAGTAATTAGACCCAGTAATAGCTCACATAGGAACGCCGCATTTATGGTTAGAAATCATGCAGAGATAAAAAGAGGAAAAGCTAGAATGGTTATAAATTATAAAAGATTAAATGACAATACAGAAGATAATAAATATAATATACCAGATAAAGATCAGCTTATAAACAGAATACAAACAACAAAAATATTTAGTAAATTTGATTGCAAGTCGGGATTTTGGCAAATAAAAATAGAAAAGGAAAGTATACCTTGGACAGCCTTTTGCTGCCCACAAAGACATTATGAATGGCTAGTTATGCCTTTTGAACTAAAAATGCACCTTCCATATTTCAGCGTAAGATAGATAGTATATTTAATAAATATAGTTTTATATTGGTATATATAGATGACATATTAGTATTTAGCTCAGATAAAAATAGTCACATAGATCATTTATATATAGTATTAGAAGAATTCATAAATAATGGAATAATAATTAGTAAGAGAAAAATGGTATTAAATAAATCTCATATAGAATTTTTAGGAATGGAGTTAGGAGATGGAAAAATCAGGCTACAACCTCACATAGTTAAGAAAATTTTAGATTACCCAGATAAATTAGAAGATACAAAACAACTTCAATCATTTTAAAGAATTTTAAATTATGCACAAATGTACATTCCTAACCTTAGTAAAATAATAGGACCCCTATATAGTAAGACCACACCTACAGGGCAAAAATATTTCAATTAACAAGATATGGCATTAGTTAGAAAAATTAAAGACATTTGGAGAAATCTACCTGACCTACAACTTCCCTTAAAATCAGAATATATAGTCGTAGAGGCAGATGCAAGTCAGTTAGGATGGGGAACAATATTATTAGCTAAACCTAGCAAGTGTGATAGTAAAAATAAAGAACGCATTTGTAGATATAGTTCTGAAAAATTTAAAGAAAAAGACACGACCATGACCAGCCTAGATTTTGAGATATTAGGAATAATATATGCAGTAAACAAATTTAGGTTATTCTTACACAAGCCCTTTACAATTAGAACAGACTGTGAAGCTATAGTTAGATTTCATAATAAACTTAATGAGCGCAAGTTAAGTACCAGAAGATGGGCCAAATTTTTAGATTGTATAGTAGGACAAAAATATAAAGTAGAATTTGAACATATTAAACGGAGTGATAATAAATTAACATATTGGCTAAGTAGAAAGATTTATTTAGAAAAAGAAAATAACCGATTTAATTTTTGTGCAGACAATGGAGAACAGCAAAACCATGAACTTTGGGGGATTTGCCCTCCCATTTATGAAGGCAGAAACAAATTCAGACCATTAACAAGAATCGAGCTAGATCCAGTTCAACAGTGTCTTCTAGATAACCTTTGGAACAACCATAACCACCCAGCTAAACGTCTGTCAGCCTTAAACTCTCTTAGTATATGTTTTTCAAAAATCCAGAATAACCTTTTTCTAAAAGCTTTTCTTTTTATGTAGTAGCTAAAGGAACCAAGCCTGGTATTTACCATGATTGGGTAGAAGTTGAACCCTTAGTTAAAAATTTTCCTATACCTCAGTTTAAAGGATTTTATGATTTCGAGTCAGCCAGTACATATGCCCGTAGACAAATAGTAACCAGTTACTTTATCAGCCAAAAAGCTAAAGATTATCTGGACACATTGGACAAGATGCAGTCAACCATTCTTGCTACTAGTGGAGTTCCAGTTAGCTAGACAATTGGAAGCAGTAGTACTAACCCTTAGATAGATTCTCAAAATCCTCTCCAAATGTGCAGACATTGTGAAAGCCTTACCAGAAATTTTAAGAAAATTATGGATAAATGCAAAATGGTCAATGAAGAGCTAGACTATCTCCAAGACGAAGAAAAACAATTAAGAACTACCATTCGAACCCTAACCAACCAACTTAAAAAATTAACTCCAGAAAAAGCACCCACTCCATTTCTTGACCTAGAAACCAGACAACTCACCAGTGAGGAATTTGAACAATTGAGTACTAGAATGTATTTCTTCAGCCATTTTATCATTCGATCTTTTCGTGAGAAACGCCAAGAAATAGAGGACCTTAAACCCTATATATACACCTTAGCGGAAGATAGCAGAAATAGTGAGTTAATCACTATACAGCAGTTTCTTCAAGATCTCCATAACAGGACTTTACTGCCCTGGTATAGCTTATCAATGGACTTATCTCTACAAGGATGAAGAGTAGCCCTGCTTACAAGAGGAAAGATGTATAGACAAGCCAGAATATTTTGATAAATGTCAGTGTAATTTAGATTTCAGCATTTGCCTTTGCCAGATAAATCTAGGAACGTTCGAGCCATTGGAGATAGAAATTAGGGGCAAAACGCGTTATCTAACAGCCTCACAATTGTTAGATTATGGCTTTGTCTCTAAAATAATTTTCTCAGATCCAGATTAGACAGATAGTTTTGGAAATAAACTTGCTCATGCAGTACTTTGTGTAAAGGAAGAACATCATCCATATGTAGAAACATTAATTGATAGCAAGCTATCAGAATGGAAAGGAATAAGGTGCATCCCAGCCAAGCATAAAATGTACCTCAAAAGAACTTCAACATTTCCAAGATATCCAGGACTTCTCAATCAGAGACCCTGACTATGCAGAAAATTTTCACTCAGAGATCAGCTCAATAAATAGAGGAAATTTGCTAATAATCCTCTATTAGCGTATAATGGACATTATGGACATCTAGTTTGCGAAAATAGAAATCAGAAGATATACTAAAACCTAGCTATCCCTGGTTATCCCTTCAGCAAAGAAACATTCCTCGATGAAAGTCAGTATCCCAACTATCAACATAGCGTCACTCATGAGTCACCACTAATGGGAGAAGATGACCAAGATAACCAATGGGGGAATGAACCAGATATGGGGGATGATTTTTACGATCAACTCTCGGCAGCAGACCTTGAAGGCCTTTCAGATAGAATGTTTGGGTAAAAAAGATATATATATATATATATGTATATATATATATATATAAAAGCGGGAATACCGGAATCGCTATAATTGCTGACTATTATTAAGGTTTAATTTCATGGATAAAAATATTATTTCAAAATTTATATAATGGAAACTATGCAACCAATCTTTTATTTTTTATTTACTATTTTGAATAGGTCTTGTTTGAAAACATGTTATTTTAATAATTTTTTATAAAAAAAATATACAAAAAAATTAGAGAAATTGATGTGATAATTAATAGTAACTTTTTAACGACAATATTTTTAGTCTCCAAACAAGGTTTGAGTGTTTGAATGTAAAACGGAAGTTATATTATATGAACATCAAAATGTAAAACGGAAGTTATATTATATGAACATCAAAATAGAACAATTACAAATTAGTGGTAACACTACAATATATTTACAAATTTATTATAAAAAAAAATTATAAATATAATTATTAAAATTGATACAACAAATTTTTTCACTGATTTGTAAATTTCCTCTATCAAAATAGTTGTTTGATTGTATAATTTATTTTCAAATTATAAATTTTAATAAATAAATAAACCCTATCCATTAAGTGAGATTTCCAAATAACACATAAACTTAATAATTTAAAGATGCAATAAAAAAATGATAATAGTTTAAGAGCTAAAAGATAAATTACTTTGTCCCCCCAAAAAATTTTTTTTGAAATTAACCCTTGGTTTTTTAACTATAAAAGCTCGGTAGTAATTTATGAAAATTCCTAAAATTTAAAAATAAACTAAATAAAAAATAGAAACTTGACATTAAATTACCAAATAACCCCTACACTAGAGAAGATTTAAGAGCCACAGAGAAAGAAGCAGAAAAGGAAAAGACGCAGAGCAGAGAAGGAAATGGGTTCAGTACATTTAGCCCCCACACTATTCCGGCTGCCGGAATTCGGCTCCGGCGACATAATAAAGCACCGAAGCTCCGCCGCATTCACCACCGCCAAAAGGAGACCAATTTCAGTATCTTTCGCCGCGAATTCACCTGAATCGGCCCCCCCGGAAGCACCCGAAATCGAGCTCGAATTCATAGGGGTAAGCATAAGCATGCATACATTAATTGATAAATCTGCTTGAAAAAATGATGTTCTGATTGATTATATATATATATATATATTGATGTAATTGTCCAATCTCAATCACATATTTGTATGTATGTATATATGGATTGTTTTGATTTTGTAAGGAGAAGGCAGGAGGAGATGGGAAGTACCCGGTGGAGAGAGCGAGGGCAATGAGTGGAGAGAAGCTGCTGAGGAACATCATGTTGGATAACAAGATTGAGCTCTACGCCCCCTACGTATGTTACCCCCTATCGCACTTTTTATGTTTGGAACGGCGTCGTTTCCTCACTGCTCAACGCTGTGTTTGGTTAGAGAATTTAAGAAAGAATTTGAAAATAAAAAAAATAAAATTAAAAAAGTAGGTGAAATATAAATAAAATATACTTACATTTTATCTAATTTTACACGTATTTTTTCTTTTTTATTTCTAAATCTCTACTCAAATCCCTCAACCACACAGCGTAAAGGGTAAATTATAAATACACCTCCTGAGATTTATGTAAAGTACAGATTATTATCTCTGATTTGAAAAATTACAAATATCTCCTTGTTAGAATTTGTCAACAAAATTAACTACGAAAATAAAATTCATAATTTCTCTCTTATATTATAATAAAATTACGTAAATTATTAATTAAAATATATTTTTAATATCATTAAAATTATTAATTGACTTCATAATTTATTAATAAAATAGACGATTTGTTATAAAATTATAAACCTCAATGGGTGAAATGTAATTTTCAAAACAATAAGGGACGAACCATATTTTAATCAAATTTTAGAAAGTATATTTGTAATTTATCCCTCCTTAAAATACTCTCAAGAATGTTTAGTACAAGAAATTTTTTTTAAAAAAATAAAATTGAAGAATGCATACATTTTTAAAAAAAATTATTTTGAAATACCTTTTCACTGATTTTATATTAAAGAATGAATGATGAGTACTTGGTATATTGATCCTGTTTGGTGTAGCTGTTAGAATATATTATAGATTATAATTTAACAGATTATAGATTATGATTTTAATTAGAAACTGTTAATTTGTTTGGTGTACCTATTAAATTATAGATTTAAGTTGCTGAATATTGTTTGTTAAATAAGCCGTAAAGTAACTTTTTCAATTAACTTTTATTTTTTATTATTCACTATTTATCTACATTTCTCATAAATAATAATATTCTATAGTCCATTTGAGTCTTTTTCTATTTTTAAAAAAATAAAAAATAAAAAAATCTAAGAGTATAACCGTGAATTAACATGTCCACAGCAGAAGCTGATAATCAAAAGGAATGGGTGAGCAACTTCTCAGAATTAGTTTTTTTGACTTAAAATAAGTTATTAAAATCAGAAACTGTTTGAAATAAATTTAACCAAACAGTCCAAAATAATTTTTTAAAAGCTAAAAGCCATAAGTTAGCTCAAAAAAACCCCACCAAACACCCCCAATTATTTGCAATTTTACATCTGTGTATGAAGCCAAATCACTCTCACTTCATCTATTTTTATACATGTATCTGTATTACCTAAACACACAGAATTTAACCCATTTTTTTAAAGAAAAATAGGGAAAGGTGATGAACTGTGGAGGTGGTGGAAGCTGTGGAACATGCATTGTGGAGGTATGATTTTCAATACTATATACACTCATTGTTGCATTGTGGCTCTTGTTTATTGACATTCAATTTCTTATGTTGTCTAATTTTATGTGTTTATAATGCTTCATCTTCCAGTGCAGATTATAGACGGAAAGGATCTTTTAAATGAAAGAACCAACACCGAACTCCGATATCTTAAAAAGGCACGTTTGCTTTGCCCCCAAATTGTTGTCAGTAAAGATATTGTTAGCAATTGTGGATCCCCTGTCAAAGTTTAGTGAAGCATGAAAAATAAAGAACAAATAAACATGGGTTATAAATTACAAGCACACACAAAAACACAAGATTTACATACTTCATTCTAAAACTAAGAGAATGCGTACTCAGTATTAGGGTGCGCTAAAACCCTTTACAACCATATTAGTCAACTAAAAAAATACATTTTAAGCATACATATCGCTGTATGAAGTGCCTTCAGCCCAAATTTGACTACCTTTTTATCAAATTTCGGTTGAACTGTACAGAAACCAGAATCATGGAGGCTGGCTTGCCAAACAATAGTTGGAAATAAAGAAAATTCCGGCAAGGTATGTTATTATGGAGTCTCTTATTTAGTTACATTCTTCCATTTCTCGCATTAAGCACATTGAATTGTTTTGGGATGCTTATTATTTCTTTCAAATCAAGTTTTCAGAAGAAGAAAAAAATAAGTTCTGTATCTGATTATTGCAAATTCAGCATTTGTTTCTATCATAATGGATCTCTATTGTTGTATATATTGGATTCAGGTTGTGGTTCAACGGTTGCCTCAGTGGAAGTAGCCATGACGAATGAACATTTATGTTACAAGTGAGGGGGGAGGGGGGGAAGGATAAAAACAGAGCAGCAAGCCAAGTGCCAAAATGAAAATTATTTTCTTGGCAAGCTTGTATTGAATATATGTATGTATTCACATATACATTATAGGTAGCCCTTTGTGTACAATAGATCTGTTATTGTTTTCTTCATTTCAGAATTCATATGAATAGTAATGGCATTGTATGTATTATTTGTTGATGACCTAAGAAAATAAATGGATAGTTTCTTCATCCATCTGAACCTCTTAGGCTATGATTGGAGATTGAGTTTGTTGAGGGAAATGAAATTACATATCCAGAACCTATAACAACTAACCCACCTCATTGTGTATGAATATATTGTAATCTAACCCAACTTTTTATGAAGTTTTATTTTGTTATTTATCATCCTCACTTGGCTTCCACTAAAATATTTTCCTGTCAACAAAATTGATAAAGAAAACCAATCTGTATCTAGTCATTTATGATCCAAGATTCTCTGAACTAATCTGCAAGAGGCACACCCACACACACACACATATGTAAAAAGAAACCAGCCAACCAAGAAAAGCTGCGAGTTATGTAATCCACTAGATGGCCCTTTCATTCAAGGAAATCGAACTCCCCTAAATGATGAAACAGGTGGAATCAAAGAAGTTACAACAGGCTGTCACTGGACCATCATTGGCAAAAGTGAACAAGTTTTCCCCAGATAACAGCTATACATACCCATAAATTTCATGTAGTTTGTTTTTCTCCACCACCCAAAAGAAAAGGACTAAATAGTGAAATTACGAAAGAAAAAGAGCCTAAGCAAGCACAGACTAAAATGACACATTGCGGGTAATGGAGGGGGTTACCAGAACAGCAGTTTTTCCTGTTACTGGCTGGAGGCTGGCTGCATTCTCTAATCGCTCCCAAGTTTGCTTCTGCTTCTCTGCCACCAAGCTTAGACTCGCTTGTTCCTCCTCAAAATGGGCATGGCAAGCCAGGAACAGCTCTTCATCCATCTCTGTGAACATCTGCCTCACATTTAGAGTTGAGTTGAGCACTGAAGCGTTCCAATGGCTCCGAGCATTCTTTTCCAGTGCTGGGAATATGATTGGTAGGATAACACGCCGATTATGCGCAATAAGGTTCACAATTTGGTCACTATTCCATAAGAATAGTGCCCTTTCAGCCACCTGAAATGATTAAATCAAATAATGTTATTTCAATTTAGTCAAACTTGGTTAATATCGCCTATATTGATGTGAAGTCGCAATCACTTCAAAAGCTCTTCAAACAATCAGCCAAATAAACAACATACAAAATGTAACTATATCTGACTGAGAAGGATGTGGATCAGCAAACTTGGCGGATATGACATCCAAAATTTACCACTTTTTTTTTTCAATCAGTCAAAATCGACTACCTTGATAAAGACTTAGGCCTGGTTTGGCATGCTAAGAAAAATCTAAAAAGCCAAAAAGTTACCAAAAAAGTTATCACTATTCACAAATTAAAAATATAAAAAAATTAAATTTACAATATTTTAATACAAACAACGACTGGACAATGTTGGTATTGATTGATGGTTCAGTACTTAATGGTCTGTTCAAATGAACCCAAAAAAAAAATTAGATGTATATATTTATTAAGTTGGAGGATAATGTTGGGCCCGTGGGGGCCCACCACAGGTCTGTTTTTGATAATCCAAACCGTTCAATGAGTAGAATTTATCAAGTACTATATGCCTGTAAAAAAATCACTTTAATCGGATATGGATAGCTATATGATCGAATCAGATTTTTTTTCAGCCGTTTATGTTTCACCATCCACTAATTTCATACAAAATTGTTTTGATCACATAACTATCGATATCCGATTAAAGTGATTTTTCATAAGCATATAGTACTCAACGAGTTCTACACATTTAACGGTTCGGATTATCGAAACAGGACCCTTGGTGGGCACAAAAATGTAATTTCGTCATTTTATACAATAATTTTAATACATATTTTTTCATAAAAAGACAAAAAATTATCCCAAACAACCATATTTTTTCCTCAACTTTTTAGTCTAAAAAGTCAAAAAATGTACTTATTTAGGACACTCCAATAACCCCTTAATATAGTGATCACAACCAGATCCATCACATTCATAAGATGTTGCAATTATAAGTTGCTTCAGCAAAGAATGACAAATAATAATAATAATAATAAAGGACATACTAATTGTGTTTCTCTGTTCACTATCTTTTCTTTTTTTATTTGGTGTTGGTGGTTGCTGGATTTTTTTTATCTGTGTTGCCGTGTGGGTTTTTTTTTATCTTTGCCCTGCACTATCATCTTCACAGCTTTCTCATAAAACAATGATGCTACACAGTCAACATATTTTTATACCACATTTGGCATACCATCTCATGTGGCACAACTACAACTCATGTGGCACAACTACAACTGGGCACCCATTTCTCTTCAAAGAGAGATCTCTTCAAAGAGAAAAACAAATAGCCCTCTAGAAGAGCCAAACACGCCTAGCCTAACCGAAAGGATTTTCACCCACAGGCCAAGTGGCTAGGCAAGGAGAAACTATCCCTAAAAGGAAAGCAATCAAAACACGTGGGCAAAATACAGAACATATAAACAACCAGCAATTACAACCAAATGGAATTCACAAACAAACGGATAAGTATAAAAAAAGAGACCATTAAATCATCCAGCCCATCCAAACACGCCCAGTTAAAAGGGCAACCCATGTTGAAAACTTGGTGGACCAGTCCATAACAGTTTCAGAAAACTTGCATCTTCAATGTTACACGAACTTGAAGCCAATCGTGTGCAACAAACTTTGGAATATATAAAGGTGCTAGGGCAATTTTCAAATGCAATCCAAAACAGTAGCCCCCTACCCAAAGAGTATGGGGAAAAAAACACACATACACACACTGGAAGTTATCTACAAATGGGATTAGTGTCGTGACAAGTCATGCAAACATTTAATTTGTAACCAGAAAAATAAATTAATAAATAAAAAAAGGTGCTGTACATTTTTTTAAATAAGAAGTAAATGTATTAACAAGCACCAAAAAGGAGCGTTGCCAACAAACAAAAAGCTAAACCATGACAACCTTCTAAGCTGAACAAAAAGAGGCCTACACACTCGCGAAGGCCTATAAAAAGAAAAGAAAAAATTCTTACAAACAAAACGAATCAATAAACTCCACCAATGTGCTCAATATTAGAGATTCATTTTTATATTTGGAGGAGGAAAATTTTAGCTTAGCTCACACACATAATCACATAATTATCAAGACCCTACATAAATATCTATGTGCATACGCGTGCATACATCCAATTTCCAAAGACCAGAAATCCACAGCTTTAACTTAATTGAAGAGGTCAAGAAAGCATGATAGTATAGATAAAAATGGAACATACCTGAAAGTGGGAACTGTTGATGCAATACCCAATCCGCCAGAATAATGGAACCATGACCTTTTGGAACTCTCCCATGTTAATTCCTTCCAGAATCTCTTCCAACTCGGCAAGTATCATCACCTCCTTTTGGCTATTCGTAATTGGCCAATATTTCAACAACCCCCTTACCACAGTGCTAGCTAATTTTGGCTCCTTCTCTATAAACTGTGTAATACAAAAAGACAATTGTTGAAAATACGCTCCCAAAGATTTGGGCTTATGTAGAGGAATCAAAGCCCTCCACAAGAAGATCTTGTGCTCCTCCTTCAAAGGTAACGCGAACCCACTAATTACACTCCCGAAAATCTCCAACAATTCAGCAACTCCATTATGTCGCTCGGTTTCAAATATAAAGCAATAAAAGACATTACCAATGCTCTTCCGGATAAAAGGCCTGTGAACCATGAACTTCCCGTAAATCCGGTGCAGAATAGTTTTCAAGCATTCTCTTTCTCTAGGATCCTCGGAATCAAAGAGGTCAAGCAAATTCAAAATAAACGAATGGTTTATATACTTTTTCGCTATCTTTGCTTCTAGGGAAGGAGAAGTCACAAATTTAAGCAATAGATCATACACAACTTGTAAGTGTGACCAAGCTGGATCAAACATTGGTTCATCATCCTCATTTTCACCACCACTTGGGTTAGACTGATTATTAGGTGGAAAAACCCTAAACAAATTATTAACACACATTTTACACATAGCAACAATTGCTGGTTCTGTAAACTTAGGAGGAGCAGAAGCAACAAAATCATAGAGCTCAATCAATGTTAAACGTTTAAGATCTTTCTCTTCTATATCCTTATTTGGGTCAGTGAAGTCAAGAACCACACAACAGAGACTCAACTTACTGATAAAGAGATTCAATTTCTCTGAATTGGGAACATCTTTGAAGGCTAACAAATGCTCAGTTCCAACCACAACACTCGATGGAAACACTGATGATGATGTCCGTTTTGCAGCGTTGGCCCGGGTAGAAGAAACCCCACTATCACTTCTTGTACGTTGTAACCGACCGCCACTGGGGGACGAGCTATTGCGAGAACTACTCCTCGGCGTACCAACGGAGTCGGATTTCGATGACTTCCGAGGAAGTTTACTGAGAAATTGCTTAAACATTGCAACAGTTTCGAGCGAAAAGAGGCACCAAAACCCTAGAACTCCGTCATAGCAGATTGATAATTTGAGATTGGGACACAAAATGCCCTAGATCCACAACCACGCTACAACATCAATTGATTGAGAAAATTACAGATCTTGATGGCAAATTGGAATCTGAACCTCATGATTCCAAATATACATATATATATATAGAGAGAAAATGAAAATGAGGAAATTTCAGATCAATTAAAAAATTAAGCCTGTAACTCTTCAATCAAATGTGCAAATCTTCAATGTTGATTACAATATGGATGCAGAGAGAGAGAGAGAGAGAGAGGTACCCCCAAAAAAATTAGAGATCAGGAAAAGGAGAATGGTCACTTTCTTTGTCAATTGTTAGTAGTAAATGTAAAACCTTTGGAACAGAGAGATCGATCTTTATGCAGAGAGCAACAGAAGGGTAATTATTTTTCTCGATCCATGATATGCTAATGGCATTTTCCCGAGAAAATGCAGGAACGTCTCTCAGGTGGAGGATATTATTATATGTTTTTTTTTAAACGGATACAGTGATGGTCTTTGCAGGTTAATCTGTACATCTTCAATCTGAGCCGTTCGATCATAATGATTTGAGTGCAATGTCGGAGTACAAATTGTCTGTAGGGTGGACATCAGCGCGTTGGTTCACCCGTTTTATTTTTTTAAGACTTGAAAAAGGTGTATTTAAAGCCAAGTTTGAAATACTTCATATAAAAAAAAAAAAAAAAAAAGGAGGGTTAAAAAGTCAAAAAAATTACTTAAAAAGTTACTCCCTCCGCCCCAAAATAATGGTCCCTTTTGGGGAATCTAACTTTTTTTGATAGGACAATTATTGTACTTTTAAAAAGTTAGTTTTCCAAAACAACCCTTTGATAGTACACTTTTTTGAGAATATCAATGTCATAATTGTACTTTTTATATTATTTATGAATTTAAAAGAAGGGCAAAATGAGAAATTTATATTATTTTTGTACTTGATTTTTGAAGAGAGACTAATATTTTGGGACAATAAAAAATGGAATAAGGGACTAATATTATGGGACGGAGGGAGTAACATTATTTATCAAAAATTAACAATTACGGCTGCACAACTCTCAATCTTAATTTTCCTTTACAAATCAATTTTTATAATTTTTTGTTACATATTTTTCTATAAAAATTCAAAAAATTAATCCAAACATCCATATTTTTTCCCTTAACTTTTTAGTCTAGAAAGACAAAAAATATACTTATTAGGACACTCCAAAAGTTGGTATGAGTTGGTTTTTTATTTTTTTTAATTATTTTAATTTAGAATTAAAAAATCTTATTTAAAAGAGAAAGAATGTAATATAAATTGGATGTAATGTTTTGTTTTATTAAATTAAAAAATTTATTTCATCTTTTTATGATTAAAATAGTCCCAAATCTATCCTAACCCTTTTTCTTAAGCCAAAGTCATATTATTCATTGTTTGAGAAGTGGGTTTGAGATTAAAATAGTTACAAAAAATAAAATAGTTTTTTTAGTTTTAATAAGACAAAATATCATATCTAATCCATAAACATTGTATTATTTCTCTTACAAAAAAGTTAAAAAAGCCAAAAGTCAACCAAACCAAACTTTTTAATCTCAAACTAAAATTGTCAAAAAAAAGTCAAAAAGTCAAAAAATCAATCCACTTTTCAAACCAAACCTAATTAGACTATTATTTTCAACTTAAAATATTAGACCAAATTAGACTATTATTTTCAACTTAAAATATTAATGAGTTGCGTTTAAGATTTATATAATTTCACTTCGGTCCGTTTCGTTATTAAATTAATTGATTATTTATTTATTTATAATACATTGAAATATATCTAAATTTTTTATTTGTTGATTTTATTAAAACTTATATTTATGGTGATGTATGATTAGATTTATTAAATAAATACTTTAATTTATATACAAAAATTTTCAATTTATAATAATTTCAATATATTTATTTAAGAAATATAATGTTTGATTAAATTTAATTATGAAATATTTTAATTTTTTAACATATAGTCTGATAGGTGAGTTTGAGGTTTATAATTATTTTTTTGTCAGAACTTGGGCAGATATAGAGACTAAATGTTAGGGGCATGCCTGATTTGGACAAATACAAAATCTTTTGTTATGTAGTGTCAACCCAACCTGACATTTGTCCACCTCTAGTCTAGACTAAACCATGGTTGTGAGACCATGAAATATCTTCTCACATGGATTGTAGAGATCCAACGAAGAGATGAACTTTACTCTAGTAGACCTGCACAGATGAGCATGATCGGCGCCACCCAACCGGGGTTGTCGCCAGGAGACACTCCGATGCTAAAGTTAGTCATTTGATTGAAATAATAGAGTTATGGAAGTCAAGAGTGTTGGTGTGTAGTGTAGGAAGAGAGCACATACCTCCTCTTCTGGGATGCCCCCCATTTTATATAGATGGTGGGGGCGTGATATTTGTTTGGGCTGGATCTATTGTAGGCCTTATTTGGGTTAACCCCAATAAGCGGATATATATTTTAATTCAGGCTCCCACAATTGTCCAAAAACTTTCATTGTCTGTGGAAGGAATGAGAGTTTTTCTTGCTGAGTTACGCTATTCAAATAGCTGTTAGGTTTTTTGATAAAGAACACTTTGGATAAATGAATAAAATGTATGAATGAATGACTGCATGTATGCTTGAATGTACGCATAAATGTACGTATGTCTTGAATGTATATATAAATGTATATATGTTTATCATAGGATGAAATTATATCACATAAGTTCAAAACAAATCATAATGATGGGCCACGGTATTGTTACCCCTGGGCAAGGGCTGTAGGCCGCGGTATTATGACCCCCGAGCGAGGGTGTAGTATATTGTCGAGTGCAAAGAGCACTTCAAAATATGAACTTTCGTGCTGAACTAGTGATATTTCTATGTACTAAGCACGGAATTGATTGCCTAAACCAAATAATATAGATTAAATAAGGTAGATATATCAGCCAAAAAATAGACCACGGTATTCTAACCCCCGGGCATGGGTGTAGGCCTTTGCTAATGGGGCTCCATGCTGAGTGCGAAGATTATGCTGTACTCGGAGACTTATGCTAATTTTAAATGGCGATCAAGTGCTAATATTGCAAGGATTTTGAATAATGCATCCTGTGTCAGTGATGGCCTGTACCGAATGAGGTAGACGTGTTAATCACAAATAATATTGCTCCGCTTGTAAGGGATTGCCAAGTAGATATTGGGCCAACTATTTAATTGCCGAGTAAGTTTTGGGAAAATTAGCATTGCTCGGTTTGCATTTAGTCCAATGTAGACCTGCCTCATTGCTTTCGAGTGACAGGTGTTAGTCGGAAGGAATGCAGATTGTTTGTGCCCTATTGCCCTATGTTGCAAGGCATATTCGACTTTGGTAAAACGACGGCGCGCAAAAATATGCGAACTGCCGACTGCCAAATGCGTAATGTGTTGCCCCAAAACTGGTGCTTTCTTCGAGCGGTGTGAAAAGGAGCAAGAGCTTGCAACTTTAGTAAATTTTGTAATGTTTATACCAAGTTGGCCAAGTATAGCAGAAGTGCCGAGATATGGATCGGCTGAGATGCCTCAATAGGAAAGCGAAAAAGTGACTAAGATGTCTTAGTGGGCGAGAAAATGGCCATGGTAACAAAACGGTGGATCGAGGAAGACGGAGGATTATTTCTTAGCCCTAAGATCTTGTTGCTAAAATTGCATGCTGATTGGATATGATTTGACCATTTATTTTGCATTTAATGTTCCCGATTGGCCGATGTATTGATCATAATATGCGACTCAAAATTTGTAAAATTAGACCGCTCGGATAGGTTCAAAAGGCCCCAAATAGCTAGAAAAAACTATTGGATCGCTAAAATCGGTCTCCTAATGGCGTAGTTTTATCCAAAATAGATACGAAGGTTCAGATCAACAGGGTGTAAGGCAACTGCGAAACATAGGATTATTTATTCATTGCTTGCTGGGTCGTCTTTTCCAGCGAAAAAAATCATTTTCTGGGCAAACTTTGATCGGCCCGTACGACTTCGTTTTAGCACCGATTTTAACACGGTTTGTTGCGTTGGATTCATCTCGATGAGTACTTCACACTAGGATGATCAAAACTTGATTTCGACAACTTTAAAAATTTTAGTTTTTCTAAAAATTTCGTCCGTTTCGCAACTACCGACGAACTGTGGTTAGTTCTTGGCTCCTCGGATTGGTGGGTTTGGACTCCTTGAGTTGACACAAATCTGCTAATATTTTCAAATGTGGGTTTTAGCAAGCCGAGATGCTAGTGTTATGCCGAGATAGTAGTGCCGAGCAAGATTGTGTAGTTTATAACTGATATAGTATACGCTTGCCAAATTGATAACATGCGGAATGAAAAGCCGAAATGCAAAGTTGAACAACGTTGCGATATAATGTGTTACCGAATAAATTGCCGAAGTTGAATAATGCTAATGAATTAATAATGGTGAACGTACTTGAGCTTTGCGCTCCGCAAAAATGTAGTCGGTGGAAGAATGTGTTGTATGGGGGAATGTATTCGGCAAAAAAGCTTGGTGCATAGGGTTATAGAGCTATGTATTTGGCAATGAGAAATCGAAGCCGTTCTCATGGCCAAAGAACAGAGCTTGGGGTTTTAGAGCTACCGGGTAGCTTTGTAGCTTTGCGGAGCAGTGTGCTATGAGTCGCGACAGTGCCGAAATGCAAATATATGGTCTCACTGTAACGTTGCCGTGCGGCCTCATTGAATTGCCGAACTGCTCTATTGTTCATAAAATTATGATCAGCAAGTCCGTAATGGCATTTGTGCAGATTCAACATGTTGGTAGCTATTTGGCATGACCGTGGGTGATGGAGTTGTGGAGTGGTTGCGCATTCAGGTGGTAGCTACTCGGTATCATCGCGACATTGCCGACTGACCGGTGCTGGTGTGGCCGAGTAATGATGTTTCGCCGAATAATGATGTTGCTGAATTGTGGGTTATATTGCTGAATAATATGAATTAATAGTGGCCCAAATGGTGCAAAGTAGAATTCTTCATGCTACAGGTCATGAAATACAGAATTTTCAATTCAAACTCCCAACTTTGAACCCTTCTATCTCCCTCGTTTGAAGTCCGATTGGCCTCATTATTGTAGCATTGGATTCACCATTCGGCTTAATGTTCATTCCACTATTCAGACGCGTCATTCCGCCTCGAATTGGATGTCGTTGGACCTCCAAAAGTTGACAAAAATAAGATTGGTCTACTATTTTCTTTTCTTTTTTTGTGTGTGTTCAACTCTTCAATGTTGTGGAGTAAGTAGTTGTGAGCATGGCTGTGCAATGGAAGTAACTCGGCAAACTCCAAATGTAACTTGGCTCCTTGGTTGGTAGCGTTTTTATTTATTATTATTATTATTAGCTTGCCAATTTGTGATCGGCGCCGAGAAGAGGCTAGCTTGTTATAGGTGCTAAGCGATTGTCGAGATTTTGATCGGCATCAACACGAGCCATTCATG